AGTTTGATTTAAAAACTCCATTGTAAAAGAAGGTGAGGGATCATGTTGTTGAGAACGGCTTTTATTTGACTTCTAATCCCAACAATATACAGAAGAAAAAAATTTTTGTCACTTCTAAAAATGTTGATTAATCTCATCTTAATGATTAATCTTGATGAATCATTATTCCACATTTTCCATGTTATTAATCAGATTGAATATTTTTAACCTCTGACAGTCCAATACCTTCATAGGACCAGACTATGGTATAACCTGTTACCCAGTGTGCAGTGTTGCCTGTCATTATCTACTCTGGCTGTAAATATCCATCGAAGCCAATGACATCCTTCGTTCTGCTCTTGTCCAGTTAATTGAAGGAGGTAAAGGAGAAGCCATTCGCGTCCGAGCCATTCTGAGGTCACTGGTTCCCATTCAGGATCTGGAGGGAGTTGTGGGTCTTTCCTTTCAAATCCCCTCAGTGTCAAAAGGTCAGGAGAGTCAATCAGTCCTAACTCATTTTCAGGGCTCAAACCTGTAACCGCTCTCGTGGATGATGTTCTGTGACCCGTGTCATCATTGATATTTCATTATACACATTACAGTGCATCAATATGAGCCTTGGTCATAACCATCTAATCCGCACTATTCATTTGTTCCTGCAGAGGGTGTGCTGGTGGAGTCAGACCTTTCTACACTCTTCTGCCCCGACCATAAAGCCGCCGTGGTTCTGTTTCTCCACCGCGTTTACGGCATCGACGACCAGAACTTTCTCCTCCACCTCCTAGAAGTTGGTTTCCTACCTGACCTTCAGGCTGCCGTTTCACTTGATGCTGTGAGCAGAAAAAAAATCTGATATTTTCCATCTGTGTGAATGACCTTTGACCTTTGTATTGATCCAAGCTGCTCCATGCTGCCAATAAAAAAAAAACATTGACTTTCTGACCTGCTGGTTCTGGCAATGCAACAGTTGACATTTCCACCAGTCCTCGTCCTGTAAACGTGACCTGATTGGTTGTGTGGTTAGTTCAAGTTGTTTGTAGGTTCCTGTAACACCAGACCATACATTGACTGAAAAACTATTGAGGGCAGCAGTAGGTCTGAGTTATATACCGTTTTTAAAACTGGATTTGTCACCATCAGGGTCGACTGGTGTTAAATATTGTAATATTAAAATACAGAGTTTAAACACCAGGGGTCAAAGATGGACAGTTCACACAAGTGGTGAAGAATAAAGTGTCGGCAGAGGTGAGACAGGGTCTGTAATGATCAGATGTGAGGGGCAGTTAAGGTGGGGCAGTTGGAGATAAAGGTGAGGTTGACATGGTTTGGACATAAGCTGAAGAGAGGTACTGGTTACATTTAAAAAATGATGTTGAAGATGGAGGTACCAGGCAGGAGGAGGAGGAGACGCCTGAGGTTATTGGATGTTGTCAAAAAGGACGTGGACATAGATGGTATGACCGTGGGGGAGGCAAGATTGGGTTTGATTCCCAGAGGAACCAAATCCTTGGCACCTGTTGCAGCCTCTCTGCTGTAAACATAAGAATTTCCCAAATATGGGCTCAATAGGGTTAAAACTATTTTTTATTATTATTATTGCAAGAGACTGAATTATTTTCCCACACTGCTGCTGTAGCCACCGCTAATCTTTTCAGTGCAGCTCTATTTGTTTATAATCTACGTTACAGTAGTCTGTTGATGACAACATGCTGCCTCCCTTCTTCTTTGTGTTTTTGCCTGAATATTCTCCCGCTCTCTCCCCCTGCAGGCTGATCTAGGCTCCACCGACATGGCACTGGCGCTCAACCGATACCTGTGCACGTCTGTTCTTCCTCTGCTCATCAAATGCTCGCCTCTCTTCTGCGGCTTAGATGACCACACCAAGTTGGTGGACGCTCTGATCCAGGCCGTCTACAGCCTGTCCAGAGCTCTCAGTCTGACCAAGGCTCAGAGAGACACAATAGAGGACTGTTTGTTGGCCGTGTCCAGGTAAAATGTTGTTTTGTTTTTTTTCTCCTCTGATGTTGAGGACGAACATCCAACAGAACCCAACACGTCTGTCACCACAAGGTTATAACACGCTGTCTCACGGCTGATTCTGCTCTCCCCAGGTGGAGTGTATTGATTTTTCCAGCAAATTGCTGATAGATAACACGTTATTTTTAGTAGTTTCATATCGGCGTCATTGTTGTGCAGCACATATACTGTATACGTCCATTGATTCTTCGTCCCATTGTCTTTCTCTCCCCTTGTTTGTTAGGAATAACTGAGAGGCTGTAACCAATGATTATTAACAGATGCAGACAACTCACTCCACTCTACTTCCCGCTCATTAAATTTAATGAATCAACATAAATCTTATTTTGCCCTATTAGATATAATGTACCAATTTTGGAGCCTAATTGTTGACATTTTAATTAATATATTTCTTGCAGCACTTTTCTAATTACGACTCATTATTTTTTTGAGACATAATAATCAGTTGAGACGTCATTAACTCGGCTGAATCATCGTCACTTGTTGGTGTCCTCAGTCAACTCCAACCGTCCACGCTGCAGAGTCTTCTCCGTCGCCTCGTCTTTGATGTTCCTCGTCTGACTGATCACAGCAAGATGCCACTCAGGGTGAAGACATGACCAACAGCTCGCTGCAATTAGAAACATTTTAAAGCACGTGTTTAAAGTGAGATTTTTTTTGTTTTTGTTTATTTTTTTTGGTGAAATTGTTGTTGTCTCCCAGCTCCTGACCAGTCACTATGAGCAGAGGTGGAAATACTTGCTGAACGGCGGCCAAGGTGATCAAAGAACCGCCTCTGTAGAGGAGCTGCTCCTTTCAACAACACTGTTCTGGGGGGTGTTCAAAGCCCTGGCCAAAAAGGTAAAAAGTGTTTGAGTAAAAGGCTCAGAACAGACTGATAAAATATTAAATATTGCAGTATTATTTAATAAGAAGCACCAAAAAGCTCTGCTGCCCCTTAAAATTTAATCTCTCTTTTCTTTCAACTCATCCTGAATGTCACTTTCAGGAGGGAAAGCAAAATGAGCGAACATAAAAGTTACCTAAATGCCTTAAAGGTAGCTATGTTTTAATAAATTTAATGGGTTGTAAATTATTGTCAGCCCAGTCTTCTCAGATGAGAGCAGTGAATCCAAACCATTGTACTGTGGTCCATTAATGGGCTGTGAGACGAAATCATTCAGTTCAACTCATTTGGTCGGTAAACTACTATTTATTTACCGCAAAAAAAAAAGTTTTTTATCTTAGACAAGCAGAACAATTAAATGATCTTCCACTAGGTGGCAGCAGAAAGTTATAGTTACTAAAAATAAAGAAACAGCAGTTGAACATCTTTGTGTGTCTTTCTTCAATTCCTGAGAGTATAGCACAGGTTAGTATGGTCCAAGTTAGTATAAAACCGTGCAGGTATGGTATGAGGAAAGTTTGGAAAAAATGTACATAAACAAACAAACAGTGCAGTGTCAGTAGAGTCCTCTTTATTTTTACTCTCCACAGCCTTACAGGCCACAGTTGTTCAGCCTCTGTGTCCAGTGTCTGGCGGCCGTGGCCAAAGCTCTCCCTCCTGGCCACATGGATTTGAACTTTGTATCTCAGATGGAGAGAAGAACCTTCGTGGACACAGACGGACACTTTGACCCCCAGCCTGTGGAAACGTCCAGGTAAGACGGTGAATATTAGATCCCAAACATGGACAAGTAACAACAGTAACCACTGTAGTACAAGTTTATGTCCCTCATCTTTGACTCCTGCAGCATTTCTGTGCCAGAGAGACTTGAATTTGTGGTGAACAAGTATGCAGAGCACACACATGAGAAGTGGTCACTGGACAAGGTAACGCTCATTCATCTCCATACGGGAACAGCCTGTAGAAATAAAGACTTGATGAATGACTTCTCTGCTCCACTGGAAACATTTCTATGTGCTGTTGTAGCTGAAATAATAACCTTGACTGTCTTAATACATTTGAATTAATAATTTTTACTCTCTCTTATCTCTGTCAGTTTGCAAATGGATGGGTTCACGGAGAGCAGCTGTGCGAGAACAACAAGGTTCACCCTCTCCTGAAGCCTTACAGGGCGCTGGCTGAGAAGGTAAAAACTTTTTTTTTTTTAACAAGTGTGGGTGTAAGTGTGAAGATACATCAGTGACGAAAGCAAAGAGTGGACAAATCCCAGAGGCACCTTCATACCAAATGTGGTGTATACGCAGAATCAAAGATGAAAAAGCTTCAGTGTGTGGGCTTTGAATTATTACACCGTTGCCCCCGCCTGACAAATCAGTGTTTTGCGTGTCTGTGTGTGCGTGTGTGGACAACATACTTCTCCTCAGCCGTCTGGAATATCAAAATATTTCAGGGATGTTTTGCCTGTCTGCTGCTCTTTGATGACTGAAGTTTTATTCTCCAGTGACGGTGCACGTTTACATCAGGCCACTAAATGGGATTTCTGCTAAAAGGCTTTTTTTTTCGGCACTTGTGAGATGTGTTTAAAGTGGATTTTTAATAATTTATTAGTCAATAATTTTAAAAATAGAACACATCCTCTGCTGTCAGGACACTGTCAGGGTTTTACAAATCACGTCAGGATTTCGTTTGATATCATTTGATAAAAAGTACAAGAAACTGAACTGTCGTACGGGTTTAACAACGAACATTTTGTGGAAGCAACACGCTAGAGAATAACTTTATTTACTGATGAAAGCAAACCTTAAATCTAAAGTTTGCTTTAAAGCGGCGATAAGTGACTTTAATAAAATGGTTTCCTTTTGTAAAGTCCTTTTTATGAGTTATGATATAAAAGTTATTCTTATTCTTTCTTATCACTGTTCAATTGCCAATTTTGTCTCATTGTTTCCTGACTCTGTTTTATGTCTATGTTATATTTCTGGGCCGTGCAGGAGAAGGACTCGTACAGGTGGTCCATCAAAGACAACATTAAAACCATGCTAGCCTTCGGATGGAACATAGAGCGAACCAAAGAGGATGCGACTCAGGCTCATACCTGTGCACGCCGAGTCTCTCAGTCTGGTCAGGTTTGTACTGCATACATGTAGTACTGTATCTGACAAGAACATAATAAGCATTTAATTACCGTTACTTGAAAAAAAAAAGTTGGTATGAAACAGGAGACGTGTTTTATATGAGAACACAATGAGAAGAATAAACGAGCCACTTCTTATTTACTGATTGATTTCATTGATTGATTTCACTGGAGCTAATGTCTGGAGGATCAGTATCAGTGAGCTGGACGCAACAGTTTTACACAGAAATGTGTAATCGAAGGATGACAGCAGAATAAATTCAACTGTGTTCAAACAGTGTGTACCATATAAGGACATACAGTACCTGCCATGTGGGTTCTAAGTCCTGAACCTGCAGTATGTGGAGTACTACAGTACTGTTGTAGACCTACAGCAGACTGTGTGACCAGACACTTGTTTGCTGTTCTAGTTGTCCTTCGAAGGAGCTTCAACCTTCAGTCCCAAACCAATGGACACGAGCAGCATTACTTTGTCCTGGGGACAGTGTGTAAGTGATGGCGTCCTTTTATTTCCCTTCACTTATTTGTCTTAAATCTTACAAGTTTTTTGCAGCCTAATAGGACAGGAGTTTTTTTTTATTTTTTAAATTTTTTTTTGTACTTTTGTTCATCATCATTAAACTACAACTGCTGTTGTGTCTGTTGACCAGGCTATGGCTGAACAGTTAGCTGAAAACTACTACAATGTCTGGGCAAAGAAGAAGAAATCAGAGCATGAGTCTAAAGGTAAATCAAAGCAGCAGCCACCTGTAAGATGTCTCCTCTCATCCTCTCCTCTTTACCCCCCCTCTCCTTTGCTCTTCTCTCCCTCCCCTCTCACTTCCTTTCACCTTTATATTGTCCTCTCCTCTCTAGTCCTCCTTCTTTTTTATTCTCCTCTCCATATTTTTATTGTCCTCTTCTGTCCTCTCCTCTCCTCTCACCTCCACGTCCCCATTCTATTCTATTCTATTCTCTGCTCTTATTTTTATTCTCCTTTCCTCTCCTGTACCTAAAGCTTTTGACCCATATCTGTTCTCAGCAGGGGGCGCTCCCTGTACATAAAGCTTTTGATCCATATCTGTTCTCAGCAGGGGGCGCTCATACAGGACTGGTGCCTTTTCACACCCTAACTGCCAAGGAAAAAAACAAATTTAGAGACAGAGCGCAGGATATTCTCAAGTTTCTTCATCTTAATGGCTACACAGTGTGGAGGTGAGGACAGAGAGACCTGTGTATGAAGGGATATGAAGGGTTAAATGAGAATAAAGGAGTCGTCCTAAAAGTATGTCTCTGACATGTTGTTTTGAATAAATGTTTGACCTGTTTTGTCACATGTCTTTGACAGAGATCCTAAGAGCGTGGAGCTGGACTTTCCCGCCTCATCACACTGCTTCAGCTACAACCTCCTCCAGCAGTTTCTGCGTCACATGGAGGAGACGCAAGAACACATATTAGAACTGGGTAACGGCTAATGGATGGACTGTGGAGACCTGAATATGAAAGAAAGACAAATGGAACTCATCAACATCAACTGCTTAAAGAAACCTGCCTCAAACAAACATTTATAGTTGGTGTGTCAAACATAAGGCTCGCGGGCCAAAACCGGTCCGCTAGGGGGGTTCAATCCGGCCCACTTGAGTTTTAAAAGTAGAAAAAAAATAAATATACTAAGACTTTATGTTCATAATTTCATCGTAAAATTATATTTAATTAAATATGAATATTTTCTAATATACTTCAACTTCTTTTCATGGAAACTAAGGGGAAAAATATGGACCTATTGTTATTTATAAGTCGTTATGTTATGGTAGTACTGGTCTGACATCCAATCGGGCTGTATGACGGCCCCTGAACAGAAATGAGTTTTGACATCCCTGATCTACGTATGTATTTCAAAAATGTTTTATTGTGCAGACTTGAATGTTTGATGTCATTGTTGTTCCAGAGGTGATGCAGGCCAGAGGACAGATGGGGAAAGGAGAGAAGGTTCCACACAAGCAGCAGATTCAGTTTTTTTCCAAGGTTTGTCTGAGATCAAACCTCAGAGCATTGCTCCGTCGTTTTTAATCAAATTGTTATTTTCCTTTTTCCTCTTATTTCCCATAACATCGCAGAATTCTTCGGATCGATTTTTGCCTGAATCTCAACCATATCTCCAACGATGTCTTCTGCCTCGTCCTTAGCTTTTATTTCTAATATCATTTGCATAATCTAATTACAGGGTTGCCACGGGCAACCGCTCTAACTAAAATCGTTTGTGGCTGTGTAATTTATTTAACCATTTTGGAAATCCATGTGGGTGTGTCAACTGCTATCAGGACATTGATTAAAGCTTCCCACACAGTTCTGCCTCTGAGGACGCAGCGAATAAAAAGGGTTTATTTTTCATTGACGAGGCCTCAGAGTCAGAGCCAGTCAGGCGAGACCGTGACAGCTTTGCCTCTGAGCTCTACACCTCACCCCCCCCCATCACACGGTCATATATCCACCCGTTGCCTCTGTCTGCCTGTCAGTGTGTTTGTCCATATGTGACTTGTCAGTGATTCTAAGGAAGAGGTAATTGAGTGCAAAATGTTTAGCTGTTTCGCCTCCAGGTTTGTATTCATCCATCAGTTCGACGTCATGCTAAAGTGTTGAAAAGTCTGTTTAACTCACGTGTGGGAAACAGGCTCCATAAAAACGTGTTTGTTTGTTTTTATCCTGAGACGATTAATCATGATTAATCGACATCATTTCCCCCCTGTATATCAAATGAACAGAAAGACAAATAACAGCAGGTAGATGTAAATGTTTTACACTTGTTTCAATTTGTGACAAATCAAAATTATTCATGCAAATATATGTAGAACTCCAGTTGGATTTGAGAAAAATGTTCAAAACTTGAACTCCAATTGGATTTGAGAAAAATGTTCAAAACTTCTGCAAAGCCGTTGTCCTCATCAATATCAATTAATCAACTAATTAATTAGGTAATTATGTCAACCAGATTACCAACTTTACTTACTGCCCACTGGGTGTCGCCCCTGAAAATTAAAGCCTCCACAAACAGAGTGTGTCCTGATGGTATTTCAGTCTCAAGGTGACTGTGTGAAAAGAAAACATTTTAACCACAGCGTGTATAAATAACCACATTTGTATCTGCTGTATATTAGAGCAACAGTGAGTGGACGGACAGGGATTGTCTGGTATAGACAACACGTCACTTTGTGCATGTCACAGCAGATTCGTTATTTTATTATTTGGACAGCCTTAGTCCAGACTGGGTGATGTTGTCGTTCCAGTTTGAGCAGGTGTTCTTTTCTGTGTCCCAGGTCGTCCTTCCTCTTTTGGAGCAGTACGTGAAAAGCCACCGTCTGTATTTCCTCTCCTCCAGCGGCAGCAGAAGCCACGCTTCAAAAAAAGAGAAAGAGATAATTGCACGGTGAGCCTCTCTGTTCGCCGCACTGAGATTGGCCAAGACAATAGGTGTATTTTTACATTTTGTTTTTGCACATGCACATCAGTTCCTCAGGAGCACTGGCACTGAAGCTGAAAGTTTCTTTCTTTCTGCTTTTTATTTCATGCTCCTCCATCTTCTAATTGTTTTTCTCTGCTCTCACATCCAGCCTCTTCTGTAAGCTGGCAGCCTTAGTCAGGCACAGAGTCTCACTTTGTGGTAAGGATGGTGTGGAAGTTATGGCTCATAATTATGATTGTCCACCTTTCTGTTCTTTTCAGTTCTACTCTTTGCAGGCACTGTGTTGTAGACAGGACTTTAATGGAGCCCGTCCCCCCGTCCCCTCCTCCCACACATTGAAAACTTTTGTCTCCAAACTCCACTGATTTCTATTGTTGTATTGTAAAGCCATAATTCCTACAGAATGCACACAATTAACAATCAGTGCTCATTTAGTTTCCTGAAAGACAAACTTGAACCCTGACCCACGTCTTTACAGTGGCTGCAGATCTTTTCAAATCAGGGTTTAGAGCTAAACTAAGATTAAAGTCCAGTTTTGTTCCGTATATTTGTCTTTGTTTTTGCTCCTATTCTACTGAGGAAATCATTTTTTTACTGGATAATTTTTTCGTGTCTATGCCGTCAGTTTGGAGCTGAAGCTTTTTTTGTTGTTGTTGTTTTTTAAATTCTCGCTCCAACTGCTTCAGTGTGTGTTTATGTTTATGCTGCAGTTTAATATGTAACATTCTTACTTCGTCTTCACTTTCCAGGAATTGATGCGTCCTTCGTTGCAAACAGTCTCTGTGTCCTGGCTCAGTCTCTGGACGTCAGGTTAGTCCACCTCACTGATGGTCACATGACTGGTGGGATTCAGCAACACTGTTTTTTTTCTTTGAGGCTGACATCACCTAAACCCCCGAGGACAAGGTTTCTCAAGCGTGACTTTTGAGTTAGAATCTAAAAGTCAGTCATAAATTGATGGAATCTGGAATTGTTAGAGTCACTTTGAATCGTGCAAAAAGAAACGTGACCACTTTTCATTTAATATGACATTTTGCAAAACATTTTTTTGTGGGGAAAAATGTTTAGCAAAACGCAAACAGACTTTTTATTCCCCGTTTTGCCTCCAGGTTACTGATGCAGTTCTCTTCAGAGTTCATCCAAGCGTCTCTGCACTCGTTCTTTGACGCAGCTGCAGTTGATCTCCAGACTTGTTTGGAGAACCTCTCTGTGACGTCAGTGTCTCCGCCTCAGGGAAGGAGTCAACATGCGAGAGGCGTGGCCAAAGTTCTCGCTTACACGATCTCCATCCTCCTCCCTACTCTCACGTCACTCTTTCAACATGTTGCCAACCAGAACTACGGAGTTGATCTGCTGGGTAAGGACTAAAGATTGAGTGGGCTAATGAAGTTATTTTAGCTCACATGGATTTAACTATGATCATTCTAAAACCCTTGGTCTAAAAACCACATTTCCTCCACCTAAGCTTTGATATATGAAAAACATTGTTATTGAAGTTTATTCCAAAATAAACACCATTAAATAATGTTAAGATAAAAATGTGATTTTTAATTAATTTTTCTAAGGCTCTGGTCCATCAAAGCGTCTGTAAAGAAAAACTCTGTCCCTCTGACAAATATAGTTAGTGACACCCGCTGTGGATAGGAAATTGATTTTAACAATCATTACATATAGTCCATCAGCTGTTGGCAGAGCTGTGTCTTCTTTTAGACTCTGTCTCAGTTTGTCGTCCACATTGATGAACAGCTGGACAAACAGCAGGCTCCTCGGCAGCTCTCTCTGCTCTGCACGTCTTTGAAAGTTGCTCAAATGGAACCACTCAGCGAAAACAATAGGAGCAGGAAACTCTGAGTTGCTCTGAGTGACGTTCCGACTTTAAAGTACTAGTATGCATTGATTCAAGTTAATTGTGTGCTGTCAGAGATTCTCCCTCACCGTTCCTAAAAGGAACATCAAGGATCTCACCCTGAGCGCCCTCGTGTCTCCACAGTGGGGAGTATCCAGGTGTCCTGTTATAGGATCATCAACAGCCTCCACTCACTTGGCAGCAGCGGCGGGCGGCGGGGAGCCACATCTCCATGGAACGGTACCCACCATCCAATCTGAGTTTATTGTCTGCTGACAGCGACAGGACAGGATGCTAATTATTTTCCTGGTGTAATATCTCCGCTCCACAGATGCTGACGCTCACTGATGCTAATTCATTGTTTAGTGTGTAGACCTGTAGAAAAGCACAGGGCTTCCCTCACTGAATGGGTTTTCATATTGGTTCATAATATGATAAGTAATTATTTGGATGAGCCGTATCGGACGGCGAGGAACAAATGTCATCGCAGACTTATATGGCCGCCGTGCTCTGAAGCTCTAGTTGATGAGTCAGCCCCATCATAACGGTGAATGTATCTGTTCAGGCAGAGGCCAGGAGCAGGTGCTTGTCTGGCAGCCCTGACCGCTGCCTTCCCTGTGTGTTACCTGGAGCCAGCCCTCAATCCAAACAACCCTTATTCCATTTACAACACTCTGAGCGCTACGGAGAGAGAAGGTAATAAATAAACAAAGTGCACATACTGAAGCATACTGAAATGGTATTTTCTTTATGAACAGCTTTCACCCACGGTCTTATTTCGTTTTTTCTTCCCGTATTTGTTTCTGTAAGATCTGGGTCTGTCAGAGGAGGCGCTGGACGTCTGTTCACTCCTGCCGTCTCTGGAACAGGCCGTGAATGAAGTGGAGGAGTTAGCCGCTGCCGGAGCGCTAGCCGGACATCCCAGCTTCTATCATGTTGTAGACGTCACCATCCCCATGTTGTGCAGCTACATGTCCCGTTGGTGGCCACTGGGCCCGGAGGGTGTAGCCGGGTGCCAGATGTTCACCTCCGTCACTCCCGGGCACGTCAGTGACCTCCTGGGCCACGTTCTCCGCATCATCCACAACCACGTGGGCACCAGCCAGGGAGACTGGATGAAGCAGTTGGCAGGTAAAAACAGGAGGCCCTCGGTTTATGACCTCCTCAAACCAATGGTGTTTTGGTACTTCATATCCATTAACCTTCTTCATTCGTTTTATGGTTACGTCACCATCTACTTCATATCCATTAACCTTCTTCATTTAACCGTCGTCGTCGTGTGGCTCAGTGTTTTCCCAGCCCATCATATGTAAAGCTTCTCCGGAGCTGCTGAAAAGCCACTTCCTCCCACTGATGGAAAAGTTGAGGAAAAAAGCCGAGTGTTTGCTGCTGGAAGAGGAGAAAGTGAAAGTAGCAGGAAGTTGTGGCTCTGATGCAGAGCTGTTGATACAGGAGAGGTTCACTGTCCTGGTGCGAGACCTCTACGCCTTTTATCCTCTCCTCATCCCATTTGTTGATTCTCACCGGTGAGTTTAGAACCTACAGACGCTGCTGTAGACATTATTTTTTCAGGTGTTTGTATAGATATATATTTATATTCTTTTTGTCCTAGAGCCAGTTGGTTGACGGTGTCAAACCCTGAGGCGGAGCAGCTGTTCAGCATGGTGGCTGAGGTCTTCATATTCTGGGCCAAATCTCACGTGAGGACGACAGATACTCTGTCTTTAACATTTTCGACAACTGGACCTGGACGTGTGACTGTTTCACCTGTTTTTGTTGTGACAGAATTTCAAATGGGAGGAACAGAACTACGTGGTACAAAATGAAATTAACAACCTGGTCTTTTTAGTCAACGGAGACAAAACGTCCAAGGTCAGTGGCGTGTTTGTCAACTGATTAGCCATGCAGCCACGTGTGAGAGGAGCCGCGTCTCTACATCGTCTTTGCGGCTTTATCTCCAGTTCCACCAGGAGAGGAGGATGAAGAGGAAGGGCGATCGCTATTCCATACACACGTCGCTCATTGTGGCTTCAGTGAAGAGACTGCTTCCTGTGGGACTCAGGGCTTGTTTTCCAAATGAGCAGAACCTTATCAAGAGCGGCTTCACACAGGTTGGTTGGAAAACGAGACCAAACCTGTTACTGTGTGTGTGTCGGTTTGATTCCAACTGTTTTATTGTTTCAGTTTCACTCCAGTCATTTCAGGTCATGTTGCCTCAAAAGATTTTATATTTTTGACGTTATTCTCGTTATCAAAGTTTTACTTTTTGTTTTGTCATTTTTTTGTTCTCTTTGTCTCCTTCACCCCTGGATCTTTAGGCCTTTTTGTTAAAAGTACTTTTTGACAAATTTACCCGCAATAGTTGCGGAAAATACTTTTCTTTCTTCATCTTTTTTCTTTCTAACTTTTATTTTTCGTAATTTTTTAATTCTGTTTATTCGTCCCATTTTTCCTACTGTCTGTAGTCAGACAGTAATTTATTATAATGAAACTGTAAAATGTTTCTTTGAATACTTGTTTTTTTGTACATCAAATAGTGAATTTTGTAGAGATATATCCATGCTCTTATTTACAGTAAGTCATGTCCTTCTATTGGCCCCAGAATTCCTTGCTGTGCCTCTGTCTGTCTGTCTACACTTTGCAACCTCTTTTCAGTTTCACTCATTTTCCTTAATTTCTAAATTTGTTGCATAAATTAAATTAAATTTTTTACATTTCAGCTGTAGCATCAGTTACTTTATTATATCGACAGTCAGTCTTTTTATATTTTCCTCCACAGAAGAAACCTGAAGACGAGATTCGAGAGCAGGTCCTGCGTTCCCTCCTCCAGCTTCACAGTCAGGTTGAAAACCGTTCTTCCTTCTTCTTCCTCTGGGCCGTAACAAATGTAACATTGTTTCCACCCCAGCTTTTATGATTTATATGATTTGATTTGATGGATTCTTATCTTGTCATTCAAATGACAAACACTCGACGCATGTCACTGAAATAACATCCAGTACGAAGCGTCCTTGAAGAATGTATGAAGTGTTTAAACCTTTTACAATCTGCACACAATGAATATTCAGCGTCGTGCGACTGTTTGCACCTGACGACACATGAAATCAAACCAAATCAAATTAAATCTACTCTGGCCGCCTGTAAAATCCAGAGCTGTTTCCTAATGATCTTAACCAGTGACTCATTTACACCAATGTGATTTATTTAACATAAAATATGCCTGAAGTGTTTATTTACACACCAGGGATGAATACATTATTTATGTCATTAGCATTTAACAGTTTTATCTTGGTTTCCTTTGCCTTTGGATGTAATTGTGTTAATTCATGAACTGAACACATGAAGATCCAGGAATCCAAGAATTTATCCACCAGCCTGTGCAAACATACAGTAATTAAAATATCTGTGCAAACATGTGCAAACATACAGTAATTAAAATATCTGAGGTTGTGATTGTTTTTCCTAATGAGCACCAAAACATTCCACACAGGAAAGCCTTCCTGCAGAGCCTCCAGTGGAGACGGCGACTGAGCTTCAAACGACTGTGGACAGAATCATGGAGACAGCGTGTGTCCTTCATCACCTCGAGCAGGTGAGACATAAAACCCGTAGAAATCTGAGATTCATTAATTTAATGAATTATGTTTATTTTGCGTTGTAGCTCCAGGTTTAGTGACTTGTTTAACTTTAAACCCTCAGATGTAACAAAGTGGATGTAATGAATTAGTACACAGTGATATAAACCACATGTTCTCACATTATAATAACAAGTCAATCTTTCTTCCATTAAATTATCACTGCTGCTCTGTATCTATAGGGTCTAACGAAAAACCTTGAAAAGACCTTTTTTATTTTGCATCAAATAAAAAAACCCTCATTAATTGTATTCATTATTTCCATGTTTGACAAGCGATTTATGAAGCTGCAGCTTCAGTGCAACACGCCACCACTGGTGGGGGGTGGAGGGGGGTGGGTTTCACAAACGGCACATTTCCTCGTTACGTTGTTTATCTTGACTTCAGGTGGAACACCCACAGAGGAGTAAAAGACAGACGCGACACAGGGTTCTTTCTAAACAAAGGAAACGAGCAGTGGTGGCCTGTCTGAGGATGGCTCCTCTCTACAACCTCCCCAGGTACAAACATCATTATTCTGTGGTAATGATGCTCTGTGTAAGAGCGGTCAGTGTCACACGCCAGAGCGTCTTCATGCTTTGGAAATGTATTTTTGCGCAGATGTTTTTAAAGGAAGTCACCTACGAAAAAGAAACAACAACAACAAAACTGTGTTTTCTTTCACCTTTGACGTTCATTCATAAATAATGGAACAGTCTGTCGTCGCTGTGGTTCAGTTTTAAAGCAGAGTCGGTGTCATGGAGGTTAAGTGCTTGTTTACAGGTCACGACCATCGAACCTGCTCTGTCTTTATGCTTATCTCTGGTACAGTGACGGTCAGTTGACCTCATGGTTGAACCCAGTCCACTGAACTGTCTGATCTAACTCCTGACTGGATTCCATATAATAAACATTGAACAATAATGTGATTTTATTTGAGGGTTGGACCACCAAGGTCTCTGAAAACACTCTGCAATGTTTTTTGCCTGTTGGTCTTTGTAGCGTCAAATTGTACTGTGTTAGAAGTTAAGACGGGAACAAAGGATGGACTCAGTTCAGTGATGGAGACACTGACTTTTTCTATAGAACGAAAAAACTGTTGTGAGAAACTACATCAACTCCACTGATGTAAGAGGGAGAAAATGCCCCGACCCCCTCCCCCTCCCCTGAACAACGCCGACCTGCAGGCGGGCGTCTGTTTACAATACTCTGTTTTCTTAGTCAAGTATGGTGTTGTTGACGTACGCAGCAGAGTAGAGTATGAGTAAATGATCAGAAAAACACAGACAAGGCAGCGTCTTCAAACCGTTTAGGTGAACGCTGACGTGTCGTTGGATGGATGCTCTGATGGTGGTTTTGGATTATTACACTGTTGTCCAGTCAAAGAGAATTAAGAAGATGGACACAGGAATGGTAAACATATGATTGGTTAGATAGATAGATAGAAGAAGATAGATAGATAGATAGATAGATAGATAGATAGATAGATGTTGCTTCACTCAGGGTTGGAGGGATATCTATGGGGCTTTACTGTGCTGGCTGTCAGTGGCTGTCAGTCTTCATCAGAATAAACCAGAGATTACTACCTGAAGGCAGAGAAGAGTGTGATGGTGAGAGGTGAAAAAACAACAACAGAAAAGAAGGGAGCAGAAACCGTTTAAGACCTAACACACAATTCTACTTTAGGGAATTCTTTTGTTCCTTATTCTTAACCTCATCCTAAAAAAGAAATCCTGAAATATCATTCCTTTCAAATGTTCTTTCAGTTTTAGGAAAACTATTCAAACACACAAATTATTGATTTTTTTCTTCTAATTTAGTTTTAAATCCTGACCATGATATTTTTCTGTCTTATTTTTCATTGTCTTTTCCATGCAGCAGTCGTTCCTTTGCATCATTTAATTCGCCATTGAATTCAAATGCATATACGTCCTTGAGAAAGGAGTAAATTGGTTTATAATCCTTGATTTTTTTTCGGCAAATGATTCCACCCTTAATTAATCTTTACTGCTATCTGACAGATGCAAATTAAATGTACACACATTCTCTCGTCTTCCCTCCAGACACAGAGCCGTCAACCTGTTTCTGCGAGGCTATAATAAATCCTGGATTTCAGCTGAGGACCGCAGCTCTGAGGAGAAGCTGGTGGAGGATTTAGCCGTGAGTTTCCTCCACGTCGTTCATTGAGAAGTGACAGCTGGCGTTGGCCGGGAGAAGATAATTATCATATTAATAATGCAACGACATAAAAAGGAGAAAATGACCAAAAACCTAGATCTGAATGTTTGGTCCTCTCGGCTGAATATAAGTCAAACACCTAAATATAGTTTCTATATTGGATATATGTGATTGTTCAGCACAAATTCTCTCTCCGACACGAGATTGATTTTACAGAACATTGATAGAAACACAAAAACCATCACCAGGTTTTTATTGATCCTACATTAGCCTCTCTGTCACAGCATTGTTCTTTTGCCCTGTGTGCCATTCTATTATCTGTTTGCAGAGAAAAATAGACTGTAAACGTAGCTGAGACAATGCTGAGCTTGTCATTTTAACCCTGATGTCACCAAAAAAAAAAAGAAATAAAGAAAAAAAGAAAAGTTACATTAATTCTGCATCAGAAAGAAAGAAAAGTTACATTAATTCTGCATCAGGTCAATTGAATTTTAAAGGTGGTCTTCACATTCCACATCCTGTGAAACACCCCTGGGCCTGTGGGTGAGCAGTGCTCCCTCGGCCTCACAGTCTGCTGTGAGGGAAATTAAAGTGAGACGGAGCAGGAGAAAAGTTGATGTTCCCCCTCACTCCTGTCAGAATCCTCCCACCCACTACACCCACATTCCCAGGTCGGTTGGAACCTTTAAGTGTTATTTGAGGTGACCTGTGCAGCGCCGCTGGAACATGCACCACCAGTTGAGAACCGTGGTATTCCTGAGAACCTTTACTACAACAATTACTAACCAATCATCTACCGCCATATAAGATTAGTAAAATATAATATGAATTATACATATGTAATACATGTGCAAACATTATTTCCACATGTAGTAGTAGTGTCCTGACAAGAATAGCTGCATCAACCTGTGTGTGTATGTGTGTGTTTCTGGTGTAGCTTTACCTGTGGGGACATTTTCTAAAAATTAGCATTGTTGTAGCAATGTTTTAGGACGCTGTGTCCTAAAAGGGACATTTTGGCTGGTCCCCAATGATGGGGGGTTAAGTTTCATGTTTGGATTTGAAATATAAAAGGAGTCAGATTATCGTTTAGGTAAAGATTAAGAGTGGACATGTTTGCAAAACTCAAAAGCTTGCAGGTTAAAGAATGCATGTAATATATCATGTCTTTATGACATATATAATACCATGCCATAAAGACATGATGCAGTGTGTGTGTGAAAGCCAGCCTCAGCCGCAGTGTAGACCGTTGAGTCAGCAGACCTCCTGGATCTCTGTGTGGCATTGTTTAAGAGCTCATATCAGACTGACTGACTGTCTCCGTGTCTCTGCAGAGGGGACGAGTGATGGAGCCGCGTAATCACCACACAATGGGAGAAAAGGATGAAGGCGAAGGTGCCAAAGCCATCGATCCACTCCTGCAACTCATCACATTCTTCAGTCGTAGCGCCCTCACCGACAGCAGGTGTGTGTTTGTTATTAAATAAAGCACACGGTGCAAAACCCCCTCTACATTTACGACTGGTCATCAAGTGGAGAGTCAATATGGATATAATCAGAGGCCTTAGCCTGTTTTATCCAACACTGTTTTTGGACGCCTGAAAGCTGAGTATAAGTCTGGGAAAATGTATTGCAGAGTTTACAACATATTTTATATATTACATATCATATAAAATAAAACTAAAACTGCTATTTTAAATATATACAGTATATATATATATACATATCCATGCATTTGTATTTGATATATTGCTTGACTTATCTATTTATGATATGCTCTTCTATTATAATATATACACTGTGGTTATATTTCCATGGAATATGGCAAATATATTCTGAGGATGGCCTTTTAACTGAA